CAATCGAATGATCATCTAGTATGATGTGCATAATTTAACCTGATAGTCCAGGATGATATCTGGATAGTCCTAGACGATCAGTACAAATTTGCACATATCATCCAAAACAACATTATGGATCGTCCTGGACTATTAGAAGATAAATTATGGTATTTCATCCTGAACGATTTAGGAAAATCAAGTATGTCGACAAACATCATCTGGTATGATATACAGATCATCCAGGATTATCTGATTGAAAATTTTAACCATAATTAGTCCCTTAATCACATGATTAATTTAGGCATAATTTGTATTGATCATTTAGGATGATATAGATTATTCGGGATGATTAGAACAAAATTTAAATCTTAAATGTTCGCCTAAATTATCATTGGCTGCAGTTTTCCAAGATCGTAAAGGATTGTCCTGGATGATTCAAAATTGTCCAGTATAATTAGTTCAATGAGCTGATTGTCCTATACGATCAAAATCGTCCAGTACGATTAGTTCAAAACTTTAACTTCTGGAATTGACTCAATCTCACTCCCCCTGAGTGTGTGTGTGCATGGTCACCAAGTAAGCATACACCCTTATAGGTCATGACCCAATAAATCAAAAAATAGATTAATGAATATTACAAAAAAAATATGTTATACCAAATCGTGAGCCTTGAATGGTGCATCGTAATCTTGAAAAGTTAGTATACACACAAACAAACATATATTGCAAATACATGTAGACAATAGAAAGTAAGCCACAATATTTGTTATCATCAAAACATAAACTCATAAGCTCGAGTTGCAACACTGACCACCCAACAAAAAGCCAAAATTAATACACCCAGAATATATCTTATAAGCACCAAATGCCCAAACCTAGCAAAATATCAAAAGACTATGGCCCCTTATATATCTCATTCCCAATCCCAAACAAAATCTCAAACAAGTTTAGCCTCTTATATGTCCAAGAAGACACATTTCATCACATCATTTCATAGTAGAAATTTAAGTATAATTAGGCACATCTAATAATTATACAATAATATATACTAGTAAGCAACAAAAACTTCAACTGAGTTAAAATAGATAGCTTCAAAATATAACTTGATTATCAAGGATTGTATAAATTATCATTTTAAGACTTTAATCCTTGTACAACACAACTTTTTAGAGTTCAAATTATTTTATATTCAACAAAAATATATAAATTTCAAAATACTCAATGAAATTTAAAAAAAATAATCAAAATACTCATTATATCAAATCTCTATATCATATAAAAAGTTATGTGATAAAAAACTTTACAGTACAATGTCATACTTATTTTTCGGCAATGAAATTTTTTTAATTAAATAATTAAAAAAAATTAAGTATTTTTAAAATTTGAGATAATCATAAAGTGATTTATCTCGATCTAGAAAACATGTCCAACTTGTCTAACCGTTAAAAATGACCTAAAACAATTAAAAATGGACTCTCTCTCTCTCTCTCTCTCAAGAAAGCCTCTAAATCTCTCTTTCTCTCTACACGCATCTATTATGATCAGTAAAAATGGAATGGAGTAGTGGACTCATTTTACATTTAAAGTGCAATTAGAGGCCTAGCAATGTCGTGTTACCAACTAGCATTGTAATGCTATTTAATTTTCCAAAAAATTTAGGCTACAACGCTGCAATATCAATTTTTAAAGCATGGTATTGTAACAACACTGAGATGCTCGGATGCCCAACATTTAGATACTCAAATAATAATGGCTCTTAAATTTATTAAAATTGACTCTAGAGCTTTAAGACTCATTTTATAATAGATGTAACATTTTTTAAGCATTAAAACACTTTCAAATACATCTAAATAGGTTCAAAACTCAAAAGCATAAATATTTATCATCTTCCAATTGGGTTAGATACATGGAACCGACTAGGAGGTGTCAAACTCCTCATCTAAGAAAAATATGATCCTCAACATCTCGAAAACTCATACCTCATGTCACACAAACAAATAAGAATATAATTTTCTCATATCATACATTTTTTTCCATGTAGCTCCACTTTTAGTTATGTTCTTCCATAGTACTTTAACCATTTCAAATCTATTAACTTCTCAACTATCAGACATCATATTCAAAGAACCTTCTCTAGTTCTTTGTTGTAGCTCAAAATCAAATAAACCTCGATGTCTTAAGTAGATATCCTATTTCCATAATAAGATATTCATTTTATCAGAAGTGACATGAGAAATACATTATGAATTTTATACTTGGATTTTGGCAACTGTAACTTGTAGGTAGATTTCTCTATCCTTTAAATAAACTCATATGGTCAATCATACCTTGGACTTAACTTTTCTTTCTCAAAAATCTTACTAATGCCTTTCGTCAGCCCAATCTTTACGTATACCAAATCTCACATTTAAAATTCCACAACCTGGTTCTTAGCATAAAAAAATATCATTTTTTATCATGTACCACTTTCAATATATCCATGACCAAATGGATAATTTTAGTAGCATCAATAACTAAGGCTAGCTCTATCAAATGTCATTTACCCAGTTATGTTCAAGATAACGGTGCACAAAACTTCCTACCGTATAGAGCTTCATATGGAGTTATACATATACTTGATTGAAAACTATTATTATAAGCTAATTCAATTAAAAGAATGTGATCCTTTCAATTTCAACAAAAATCATGAACACGAACTCAAAAGATCTTCTAGTACATATATAGTCCTCTTCAATTATTCATTGGTCTGAGGATAAAATGTCATACCAAATTGTAATTTAATTCTCAATCCTTAAAGAATACCATTCCATAATCTAGAGGTAAACCTTTCATCTTTGTTAGAGACTAAACCTACAATATACTATATAATCTGATAATCTCACTCACATATAGTTTTATCAACTTGTCTACATAATCAAACAATTGAATTAGAATAAAATGAGCTAGTTTTGTCGAACGATCAATTGCAATTGAAATAGGATCAGGTTCTTATCCTGACCTAGGAAAACATAAACAAAAAACCATAGTTAACAATTTCCAATTTCACTATGGAATGGGTAACGGTTGTACAAAACCTCATGATCGTTGGTGTTTAATGTTTAGTAACTCATAGGCTTATATTTAGAAAAAAAAATCACTTCCTAAAAATGGAGTAATAGACTGTTACCAAGAGGGGTTGTAGAGGTCTTCCAACCCTCAGAATTTGTAAGTACCTCAAATCAAATTGCATTAGCTAAGATCCGAAGCTTCGCTAGCTAGGGCTAAAAATTTTGCTTCCAACTCCAAGACTAAAATTTGAGCTAGCCCGGATATTATTTATAGCTTGCAAGATGCCTCTCCACAAAAAAAGAAATGTTGGAGCTGGTCCTGGGTGTTGCAAATCTAATTTCATGGCTTATGTTTTGATGATTGACAAACACTATTTCTCTTGGACTGCTTGTTGCTTCTAACTTTTCAGGAATCAAAGATCGGACCATCAAGAAGAAGCCAGTTCAGGATTGCTTAGGTTTAGGGTTAAGTCAGGTACTTTTGTTTTTTCACTTTTTGAGCCTCTAGTAATGGTAAAAAAGACTGATACTAAGTAACCCTACAGACACACACTTGAGAGATTTAGAATCTCTATTTTTGCTCACATCGGCCAGGCCGATCCCTTGGATCGTCCTAGACAATCGAGTTCAAAACAAAGACTCTAATCAGGATTCTTAATTAGGGCAGCCGTCATAAACATATCGGCCTGGACAATACGTGTATCGGCCATGATGATTAGCTCAAAACAGAAAGAAGTTGCCGCCATAGACAATTAAGGTATACTGTATTTTTAAATTATCGGCCAGGACGATCATTGATCGGCCTGGACATTATTCACAAATTATGCCTTAATTGATCAGGAAATCAAGGGAGTAATTAAGGATGATTGATACGATCATATCGTCCTGGACAATCGCATGATCGGCCAGGACGATCCAGTCAAAAACCTTAAGTTACTTCAGGACGATAAATATTGACCAGATCGTATCCAGGGCTATTATCAGGACGATTTTCCCATAATTTGAACTGATCGGCCAGGACGATCGTGAGATCGGCCTGGACGATCAAGCCAATTTTTAATTGTCCAGCTTTGCATCGAGGGCGATGCTCTGGCCGATCTTCTGAGTTTTGTACTGATTGGCCAGGCAGATGTCCATATCGGCCTGGACGATAAAGTCGGCAACTTGCAATTAATGAGCTCCTTTGAAGATCTTCTATTTAAGGGCTCTTGTTCTACGTTTTTTAGAACCTTTGGCTGCTTCCTTGACCTGAGAAGACCTTGAGGAGAGAAAGAGAGAGAGGGAGAGAGAGAGGGGAGCTTGTGAGGGGATTCACAAGGGTTGCTTCAAGGATCACTCTGCTTGTTCTTCATCTAGAGTTTCTTGTCCGTGGAAGGGTCGGTAGAGGTAAGGAGTTAGCTTCTGATTGTGGTTCTCTGCCAGCTTCAGGAGGAAGCAAAAGGAGATAGGTTCTCTACCGTGCCGAGGTGGCAAAAAGGAGGTTCTTGTCA